TAGTGGTGGTTAATTTCTCTCGTTCTTGTTGGAATTTTGATCAGGCTGATGCTACAATAACATGGGATATAGTAGTTGGAGGGTGGGACTTGGAGTACAGTGCAGAGTTTGTGCCCAATGCAGAAGGCAGCTACATAATCCAAGTGGACAAGCCAAGAAAGGTGATGCCTTCTGAAGAAGCAATCCACAACTCCTTCACTCCTCGTGAAGCAGGCAAGATGGTTTTCTCGGTTGACAACAGTGCCTCCCGCAGGAAAAAGGTCGCTGCCTATCGTTACATTGTCCGCAAATCAGCCTCTATCTAAGCTAACTTCGACTATGAAGGGGATTTGATTAGCTAAACTTGTAAGGTTCTCCTTTTTGCATTTTGCTTGCTTTGTTCTTTTTGAGGGGTTTATTTAATCAATGGTTGTGAACCTTTTTTTTAGTTTACTAAGAAGTATTAGTACTGCAATGTATAAAAATGGTGGTAGTATGATATATATTATTGCTTAATATAGAGGAAAAAACATATCTATTGAACCTTGGTGTCATACCATCTCAAATACTGTTTGTCTACTTAAGATTAGATCTTGATGGTGATTTGATGATGGAAGAAGAGAGAGCTTTTTGAATGATAGTGACTGTAGCAATATGTTTATGTCTGGGGCTTGGAGCTTGAAAGGGATTTTGGTTATTAATGGTCACAATCTGTTTTTGATTTTTATGTCACTTGTTTGACAAGGATGGTGGGTGTTCTGTTTTTCACTAACAAAAGGAAGCTGAAGTGGGGTTTTGAATATAATGATCACCACAATCTGGGCCCAGGGGTCCTAGAAAAAATCTCACACATAGGAGAAAAACTTAGTTGCATCGGTTATACCGAACAACAACGCTATGATATATGTGACAACATACATACATACAAAGGTTAGCAGAAAAGTTGTAATTTTTGTAGACAAGATGTTCAACCAAATATTGATTACCTTAGTTAAAGTCCCACTACAAAAAAATATATGCTACTTGAAATAATTTTGAGGCATCATCCTATTCCGGTACATGGATCTAAAAACTTGGAGCTTGAATCCATAAATATGGCGCTCTTACATAGAGGCGTTTAACCAAGCAGCACACCGTCTTCCATATTATAATTAAAAGAACTGGCGTCCGTGTTTCCTCTGGTAAGTGCAAGACACTCACAAAAATCAACCGTGAAGCAAATGCTATTCCCCACACATTGAAAGTTCTTCTTGTTGCTGCATCTGATAGAGAAGGAAGCATTTTGGCATCCCAGAAATAGGATACTGTTTTCCTGCAACCAATCCGACCCATGGAAACCCTCCTCCAATGACACGTTGAAAGCCCTAAACTTAGTTGTTGAACTGAAACATTGCCTAGGACGCAGAACCACCAAGGCCCCTTGTGATTCTACAAGATAAGGGCTTTGATCAACAGAAGCACACATGGTGGGTTCCATTGGCACTTTTGGAACAACAATCCTCATTTTTGCTCAGGCTTTGCAATCTCACAAACCATTACATTCCCATCAAAGTCCACAGCATAAAATTGCCCTTTATAATATGATCCTTTTTTTCCCTTCTAAGAAGTATACATAAAAAGAAATGAATTCATATTTAAGGAGGCAGTGCTATGTTTATTAATTTAAGAAATATGCTAAACTTGGTGCAATCTAAATGTGCAGGAGGGAGTAAAAATGGTGGAAGTAGAAGGTTAGTAGGTTTAAATATCGTGAAAAACATTTCTGAATTTTTTTTACTTATTTACTTATTTTATTGTTTTAGAATTACAAAATGATTCTGATGCGCCATTTGATAGCTCCCCAGAGAGGGTTTCTGTCGGTGGTGGGCCAAATATTCAAGAGACTATATTCATTGGATTCCCCAGGCCAGGTGGGCTAGTGAAACATAATTTTGATTCTTTTTCGTTTGCTATTACGTTCTCTATGTGGTCTGAAATTGAGCTTAATGGAATTAGGATGACGAGACGAGAATGCTTGCTTTTAGTTGCTAAAACATTACATAATATAACCCAGAGGGTAAAGTTGATTATATACAATTAGTCCATTGCATAGAATAAGCTGCAGTGTTCTTACGGATTCTTATAGCCTCTCACTTGTAGCTGCTTATTAGCTTATAATTGGTGTTTTCCTAACATATTTATTTACCCTACAAATTTAATTGACTCCAATATCCCACATATAAGAATCTTTTTATATTTCATCCCTTAATATAATATACTATCTACCCACAAAGGATACGATACCTTTCAGTAGATGCAACATATATAGTTTCAATTAAAGTGTGTAATGTGGTTGAATAACGTGATTGTATGATACATTTCCTTTCACGACTAATGTATGAATTGAATGAATTGGTCATTTCGCAAAGAGTTATTTATACTATTAATAAGCAAGATCCATTACATTAAGGCACGCGGGAAAAGCTCTGTTGCTGGTGATGGTTTCTGACTTTGTTGGCATCCGGAAGTTCAATCTGGGCATGGCTTGCAGGGTGCAGCATATTAACCTTCAAATCCTCAGACACAGCCACCAGCCAGCCTAGAGAAGCATAAAAAAAGAGTATAGCCGCACGGTGATAGTCGCACGGCTATACTATTTTTAGTCTAGTCGAATATTTATATAATATAGCCGAACGGCTATACTGTATGTAAGTAACTGGAAATCTACTAAGTGTAAAATGATCACCAATTTCAAAGCTAAAAGTTCATAAATTCACTTACTGGAAGTATGTATAGATCATGCTGTAACTCAGTTAAATCAATAGGCTTCCAATATCTTGCAGGCTCGAATTTAGATCCAAATAAAACATTTTCGGTACCTAGAAGAGAACTTTCAACTTTGAAAGCTCAGAAAGTGCACATAGGGAGGAGATGGCTTTGAATCGGCTAGAAAGCCAAGATTGAACATTGTAGGCATTCAAAGAAGAGATGCTGCGACTCACAGTAGCATTGAAAATCCATGAAACTTGGGGAACATGAGCAACAGTCCCCCTGATAACAACACCAGAATCTGCTCTGGGAGGCAGCTCTCCAAGCATGGCTGAATAAACTAGTGAACATAATTCACAATCTGTCCGTGCAATATTTTTGCACATTTAAGTTGTCAGCTCCATTTTCCATAAATTAACCAGTCACAGGAAGCTACTGGGGCAACTTCTATAGCTATTTGATGTGATTATGTTTAACATATGCAGGGACGGCAATCAAATCATGTTACTTGGGAAAACACACGATAGAATTCATACCACACCAGTGAAAATTGACAAGGCGTATATGCAACCAATCCAAGCTGGGTCACCTCGTTCCATTGACTGCATGCCATAACAAGACAATTACAAACTCTCATGCTGAAACACAATGCTTCACAAAGTAGCTTCATTCAATTGCTTAAATCAGATTACGAAAACCAACTTGAAATCTCAGAAATCAGGAAATGTGGATAAATATCTTCATCAAGAACAAGTTGGAAATGGAGAATTATAATTTATGTGGGAACTCTTGACACACCTGGCCAAATGACAGAATCCCATATACAAGAATGTAGAATCCAGGTTTATAACTCTTTGAGGTGCTTTTGGCTAGTCATTCAACACCCCACTGGAAGCAGGTGTTGAGCTTTCATGGTAATCATTAATTTTTGCTATCTTCTTTTCCTTCTACATGTTCTTCCATTGTCCCTGCATTTTCCATTAGTTTCTGGAATTTAGACAGCTCCTTAAAGGTTCCACCTCTTTAATCGTACCATAACAGACTAGAATAATTTGATCCACTTGAGGAAGAAAATGTAGCCGATTTGTGACCAGCACCCACGTTTTCCCTTGCAACTCTTCCTTGATACAGCGGTTGAAGACAAGGATCCTGGAGGTGGTAACATTTTAGGCTTCAAAGAGATCACACTTGGGGATTGAAGAGGCCGACCTAATAAGAATCGGAAACCAAAACAATAGAACATCCAATCCAAGCTGGGTCACCTTGTTGCATTCAGAGCAAGAAAGAGGGGAAGAAACAAAGGATTGACTATTTCAAGATTTTAGTTAGGCATAAAACCTGTTATAAAAATAAAATAAAAGGTATAGCCGCTCGGCTATACTATTTTGGCTATTTATAGTCGTGCGGCTAGACTATTTAAATATTTAAATGTCTTCTAAAACTATAGCCGTTTTTGCGCGGCTATACTATATAAATATTTGAATGTATTTTAAAACTATATCCCTTTTTGCATGGCTATACTACTTAAATATTCGAATATCTTTAAAAAGCAGAGTTTCTTTCCCTCTTCCCCCTTATTCTCTTCTCTCTTCGCTCTCTCCTAAACGACATGTTCACCTCACCACACCAACGACAACTACACAATTCCTCCCTCTCCCAACTCCACCAATTCCAGCTCCAAATTGCTCACTTAGGTATTTACGCCCACTTCAAGCTTTATTTTTTTATTCTTCAATTTGTTACCCATGATTACTCCTCCAGGTGCTACAGTGCCTCTTGCAGGAAAAAGGTAACTTCGACTATGAAAGGGGATTAATTAGCTGAACTTGTAAGGTTCTCCTTTTTGCATTTTGCTTGCTATGTTCTTTTTTAGGGGTTTATTTTATCAGTGGTTGTGAACTTGTTTTAGTACTGCAATTTATAAAAATGGTGGTAGTATGATATATATTATTGCTTAATATGGAGGAAATGCATATCTTTTGACCTTGGTTTTATACCATCTCAAATACTGTTTGTCTGCTTAAGATTATATTGATGGGGATTGGAAGAACAGAGAGCCTTTTGAATAATAGTATAGTGACTGCAGCATTATGTATGGTCAAAATCTGTTTCTGATTTCTGTCTCACTTGTTTTACAAGTACGGCGGAGGGTGTTCTGTTTTTGACTACAAAAGGAAGCAGATTCTCATCCTTTCAGACAAAAAGTTCAACCAAATATTTATTACCTTTAACTCAACCACTTAAGAAATAGGCAACATTAAATAATTTGATCCAAAGATGAGATTTTTTCATAAATGAAATAGGGGGGAAGACCCCCAAAACAGCTACACTCTTCCAATACCAATCAAATGAGCACGAGAAATGCCTAACAAATCATCAACCAATGCTTCACTACCCCAAACAGGAGCAGTGTCAAAGAAACAAATACCTAATCCAGATTGTAACTCCAGTTTGAAAGGCAGTCAGCAAGGCAATTCTTCTCTCTGAAAATATGGTGAATCTTGTACGTCTCAAACTGCCTAAGAAAATCACAGCAGTTACACAGCAGACCAGCAAGGAGATGTTTGGCCCTTCCCCAGATTCACAGCAAATCCCCCAAGCCATTCCCCTTTGCTATCACGAAGAACGCCTCCAGCACCAATATTCCCAAAAGCCGCTTTATGAGACCCATCCACATTAAGTTTGACCACTGCAGTCCCAGGAAAATCCCAAGCCAAAGGAGATTGCACTTTCTCCCCAACTGCTCTACAACCACAAGAAGCCTTGCTCCACTCAGAAACAGCAGAGAGAATAATCTGCCTCGGATTAGAAGGAACAACCTCCTCAGCATTAAAAATAAATTGGTTTCTCCATTTCCACAAATACCAACAAATAAACACAAACACAGAACTCCAAGATATGCTCCCAGACCAACAAGCCTTGGAGAAAATATTATTCTTAAGCCAATGCTAAAAATCAGCAGAGAAGAAATGAATGTCTTGACTGTGATGCAAAAAATAGCTCCAAACCTCTTTGGCTTTACTACAATCTCTGAGAATATGGACAGCATTTAAGGAACAAGAAGAATCCATAGATAAATGCCTCTGAACTCTCTGATCATTAGAAATAATTTTATCCTGGTACGCAAGCCAGATAAAAACTTACAACTTGGGGGAAAGTTTCAACTGCCACGAAGACTTCCAAAAAGCAATTGATCAGCAGATTTTACAGTAAAAATCCCATTGGCATTAGGCTTCCAAATCTGAGAATCCTCCAAATTACTATTAAACCCAGAAGAGAAACTAATAACCTTTTGCACCACCTCTTCAGGCACAGTAGCTCTCAGCTTCTTAATATCCCACCATCCCTGTTTAAAGAAACTTGACACAGGACAATCAAGGTCCAACAACTCTACCACCCCCTCATAATGTATCAAAGGCACATCAGACAACCATTTATCAGTCCAAAACTTCACCTTATCCCCCATACCAATTCGCCCAGTCATCCCCTGCAAAAGACGCTTAGAGCCATGTAAAATTCCCATCCAAGTGGCAGAACAATCCTTCCTAACCTCCAGAGAATTATCCAAAATAGAGCAGCCTTTCAGATACTTATCCTCAAAAAATTTAGCCCACAAACCCTTATCTTTAGCATGTAATCTCCAACCAATTTTACCCAACATGGCTTGATTATCCAAAGATGAGATTTTAAAATACAACAATCACCTAAGGCTTTAAAATGGTGCTTGAATCCATAAATATGGCGCTCTTAAATTGAGGCGTTTGCCCAAGCAAGGCTTCATTTTCCCATCTGTCATATTGAAAACAAAATAACTGGCGTCCATATCTCCATTGGTAAGTGCGAGACACTCACAAAAATCAACCGTGAAGCAAATGCTATTCCCCAAACATACAAAGTTCTTGTTCTTCTTGCATTCGATAGAGAAGGAAGAATTATGGCGTCCCAGAAATAGGGTACTGTCACCCAAGTTCTTTACCTGCAAATCCGACCAATGGCACCAGCACTTGCCACGACCCTCCAATGGCACATTGAAAACCCTAAACTCAGTTGTTGAACTGAACCATTGCCTAAGACGCAGAACCACCAACAAGGCCCCTTGTGATTCCACCAGATAAAGGCTTTGATCAACAGAAGCACACATGGGTTCCATTGGCACTTTCGGAACAACAATCCTCATTTTTGGTTGCTCAGGCTCTGCAATCTCACAAACCATTATATTCCCATCAAAGTCCACAGCATAAAACTGCCCTTTATAATAAGCAAGATCCATTATATTCCTCCCCACACTGGTCCATTCATCTTCTCCTGGTCTCCAAAAACCCCAGCCTCCCAAAATCCTATAAATAACAGTCACTATATAATCACACGTCCAAGAAGGGCTTGATGACAAGACAAACTTACTAGCTATGAACTCGTACGGCACGCCGGAAAAGCTCTGTTGCTGGTGATGGTTTCTGACTTTGTTAATATCTGGAAGTTCAATCTGGTCATGGCTTAAAGGGTGCAGCAGATCAACCTTCAAATCCGCAGACACAGCCACCAGCCAGCCTAGAGAAGAATAAAAAGACTGCTTTGTTTTCTTGGGTGCGAGCAGACCAAGTTTGTGAAACGTACCCTTTGACCACGTACTCTTTGAGCTGTTGTAGAATTCAGGGGTGGGAGTGCCCTTCTCCTTGTTCTTGGCTTGGATCATAAGCACTGGAGATTTCAGTGTTGATCGGCTGGTAAAGTATTCTTTGATGGCAGCTGATCTCCATGCTTTACAAACTGCGGCAAAAGCAATCAAATCCGCCCGAGAGACTATTCGTTTGGCGATCGAGTCGACAATATCTTGATGAAGACTCGACCAGTCGTGAACTCTTCTGTTTGGACTGGTTTGAGCCATCGAGTTAGTGTCAGTTACTGTTGCCCTACCCTAACAGCTTTGTCTGTGTATAGAGAGGCGGAGATTCTGCGTTTCCCTTAGGATTGGATTCCTGACTTAACTAAATGAGGAGGAATGCTATTTACATTTTCTTTAGAGTCGGGGAAAAAAAAGGTAGAGCCGCGCGGCTATACTATTCGGTTGTAATATTTTTTAAAAGTATATTCGGGCGGTTATACTATTTTTTTTCAAAGTATAGCCGATCGGCTATACAATTTTTTAAAAGTATAGCCGGTCGGCCATACTGTTTAAATATTCGAATATATTTAAATAGTATAGCCGAGCAGCGATACTGTTTAAATATTTTTTAGGTAACTGGAAATCTTTACAGAGTGTAATGATCACCAATTTCAAAGCTAAAACTTCATAAATTCACTTACTGGAAGTTTGTATAGATCGTGCTGTAACTCATTTAAATCAATAGCCTTCCAATATCATGCAGGCCCGAATCTAGATCCAAATAAAACATTTTCGCGTACCTAGAAGAAAACTTCGAAAGCTCAGAAAGTGCACATAGGGGTAGGAGATGGCTTTGAATCGGCTAGAAAGCCAAGATTGAACATTGTAGGCATTCAAAGAAGAGATGCTGCGACTCACAGTAGCATTGAAAATCCATGAAACTTGGGGAACATAAGCAACAGTCCCCCTGATTACAACACCAGAATCTGCTCTGGGAGGCAGCTTTCCAAGCATGGCTGATACAAGCGACGTCTTCCCTTCTCCAGTGCCGCCAACAACTGCCACTAAGCTTCCAACCGGTATTTCTAAGTTGATGTTTGATAAGGTGGGCTTCTCTGCCGGCAAAAAGAAATGAGAGGGGTGTTGTTCAACATGTTTGATACTCAACATGCAACTAGCATCATCAAGTACATTTGAAAAGTTCCAGGAATTTCTATCGTAACTACTTTCTTGCAAAATTTCCACATAATTCAAGTGTCATTGTGTGGGTCTATGAAAAGACTTTGTAACTAAGAATGAACTATATATTTCTAAAAGAAGAAAGTCATTATTGTCAAGCGTTGACCTTAGAATCCCATGAAAATTAACCATCCTTAATTGAGATGGCTGGAAGCCCTGGCTCAAGAGGCTGGTTCGGCACTAGAATTCTCTCCTCAGTTAAAAATAGTTCCTCCAAACGCTGTTAGGATACATTTGCATTTACAACCAGTTAAATTAAAGCAGATAGTTAGAAACTGACAAAGACAAGGAGAAACTATGTAACATTTCGTTAAGTACGGATGAAACATAATCTCGATGTTGTAGATGAGATAATACAGGTAAAGGTGTTGAGCCAAATGCAAGATGACGGATAAGTGAACTGATAAGAAACTAATGCTACCCGACTTGTAAGTTAGGGCAGCATGTTTAAAGGAAACCATAGCACTGCAAAAAGAGAAAGCCATGTGAATGCCCTCGCAGGTGTCAAATTGCCGCCAAGGAAAGTGAACATCCCTAATGATGTTAGTGTCACAACAACTGGGATGCTGTTCTGAAACATTTTATTTTCAGTAATGTTAGAAACAATTACTGTCGGTGGTGTGCTATCATACTTTACATTGTCCATGGCTGCCAAAATTTCATTCACGAGGCCCACTCTCTTGTCAGTCTGCTGTAGTCCATCCTTTGCCAGTTTTCGAATTTTGCTGATCACGATTGTCTTTTCACAAAACAACTTATGACAAATGAGTCATTAGACAGAAGAACCAAAATCCTTATCAATAAATCAAACAGCAGAAGAAGATATGGTATTGGGGCTCCTTATATATAATCTAAGCAAGAAGCCTATGAAAATGAAATTCACTAATTAAAATACATGATGTTGCTTTGAAATATCGTGCAAATTTCTACCCATACGTTCATGAATATAAAATCCACAAATTTCCAACTTAAGGACAAGGAATTTGATATGATATTGGATGTACTAAGTTGCCAAGAAAGCATTCTAGCAGCTGAACTACAGATTGTTAAGCTTTTCTGAGTTCTGAAGACTGGATCCACAAATCCAGGTTAAAGATATCTGTGACACTTTCGACCAAAAAAAGAAGATTAAGATGGAAATAAATACAAATGCATGAAAACAGGAAATGTTGACGGTTTTTCTGTTCAGTAGGAACATGATAGCCTAAGCTTAACCTTCAAAGAAAAGTGGAAATCTACAAGTAGAGAAAGAACCGAGTGCTGACCTGAATGGGGATCATGAGAATTAGCATCATTGATCCGGATGCAACACCTAATTGCTGGTAAAGAAGAACCATGGCTACAGTGATACGAAAAGGAGTAGTCCGTGAAGTTGTTTGACATTATATTTGCTAAATCATGAGAAAGAGCTATTAGTTATAATTGAATCAAATGACTTAAAGTAGAGCATTTCAAAGAATTAGAGATACTGAGCATTTCTAAAACCGACCCGCTTAACATTCTGGAAATACTGAGCTTTCAGAGAGCACACCAAGTGACTGGACAAAGATTAATAAACTTGTGAATATAATTCACAATCTGTCCTCGCAATATTTATGCACATTTAAGTTATCAGCTCCATTTTCCGTAAATTAACCAGTCACAGGAAGCTACTGGGGCAACTTCTATAGCTATTTGATGTAATTATGTTTAACATATGCAGGGAAGGCAATCAAATCATGTTACTTGAGAAAACACATGATAGAATTCATACCACACCAGTGAAAATTGACAAGGCGTATATGCAACCAATCCAAGCTGGGTCACCTCGTTTCATTGACTGCATGCCATAACAAGACAATTACAAACTCTCATGCTGAAACACAATGCTTCACAAAGTATGTTGATGCTCTTTTTCGGAGAGGGTCAACTTAAAACCCATTTTTCTTAAATCAATTGCTTAAATCAGATTACGAATACCAACTTGAAATCTCAGAAATCAGGAAATGTGGATAAATATCTTCAAAATCAAGAACAAGTTGGAAATGGAGAATTATGTGGCAACTCTTGACACACCTGGAAAAATGACAGAATCCTATATACAAGAATGTAGAATCCAGGTTTATAACTCTTTGAGGTGCTTTTGGCAAGTCATTTAACACCCCATTGGAAGCAGGTGTTGAGCTTTCATGGTACTCATTAATTTTTTGCTGTCTTCCTTTCCTTCTACATGTTCTTCCATTGTCCCTGCATTTTCCATTAGTCTCTGGAACAGCTTACTGCTTTTAGACAGCTCCTTAAAAGGTTCCCACCTCTTTAATCGTACCATCACAGACTAGAATAATTTGATCCACTTGAGGAAGAAAATGTAGCTGATTTGTGACCAGCACCCTAGTTTTCCCTTGCAACTCTTCCTTGATACAGCGGTTGAAAACCTGGATCCTTGAGGTGGTAACATATTAGGCTTCAGAGAGATCACACTTGGGGGTTGAAGAGGCCGAGCTAATAAGAATCGGAAACTAAAACGACAGAACATCCAATCCAAGCTGGGTCACCTTGTTACATTCAGAGCAAGAAAGAGAGGAAATTCTCTAGAGGAAGAAACAAAGGATTCTGACTATTTCAAGATTTTAGATTGGTATATGCTTGTTTCTAGACAAGCATAAAACCTATTATAAAAAACTTAAAAAGAGTATAGCCGGCGGGTATACAATTTTTTTACAATATAGCCGCGCGGCTATACTATTTGACCCTAGTTTAGGTCTAGCCGAACGGCTATAAGTATAGCCGCGCGGCTATACAACCCAAGTCTCTTTCCCACTTCCCCCTTATTTGTTTTTGACTGCAGCATTATGTATGGTCAAAATTTGTTTTTGATTTTTCTGTCACTTGTTTTACAAGGACGGAGGAGGGTGTTCTTTTTGACTAACAAAAGGAAGCAGATTCTCATCCTTTCAGACAAAATGTTCAACCAAATGTTTATTACATTAAACTCCACCACTTAAGAAATAGGCAACATTAAATAATTTGATCCAAAGATGAGATTTTTTACATAAATGAAATAAGGGGGAAGACCCCCAAAACAGCTACACTCTCTTTCAATACCAATCAAACGAGCACGAGAAACGCCTAACAAATCATCAACCAAGGCTTCACTAGCCCAAACAGGAGCAGTGTCAAAGAAACAAATACCAAAATCCAGATTGTAACTCCAGTTTGCTAGGCAGTCAGCAAGGCAATTCTTCTTTCTGAAAATATGGTGAATCTTGTATGTCTCAAACTGCCTGAGAAAATCACAGCAGTTATACAGCAGACCAGCAAGGGGATGAAAACAATAGGAGTCCATTTGCTGAATAAGAATAACAGCTAGAGCCGAGTCCAACTCAATGACAATCCTACTAACACCTTTATCCAGGGCCAGTTTAAGATCCAAAAATAAACCCCAAAGCTCAGCTTCAAGGATTTGACCCTTCCCCCCAGATTCACAGCAAATCCCCCAAGTCATTCCCCTTTGCAATCATGAAGAACGCCTCCAGCACCAATATTCCCAAAAGCTGCTTTATGAGACCCATCCACATTAAGTTTGACCACTCCAGTCCCAGGAAAATCCCAAGCCAAAAGATTTGCACTTTCACCTCAACTGCCCTACAACCACAGGAAGCCTTGCTCCACTCAGAAACAGCAGAGAGAATAATCTGCCTATGATTAGAAGGAAAAACCTCCTCAGCATTTAAAATAAATTGGTTTCTCCATTTCCACAAATACCAACAAATAAACACAAACACAGAACTCCAAAGTTGAGATTTTAAAATACAACAATCACCTAAAGCTTTAAAATGGTGCTTGAATCCATAAATATGGCGCTCTTAAATTGAGGCGTTTGCCCAAGCAAGGCTTCGTTTTCCCATCTGTCATATTGAAAACAAAATAACTGGCGTCCATATCTCCATTGGTAAGTGCGAGACACTCACAAAAATCAACCGTGAAGCAAATGCTATTCCCCAAACATACAAAGTTCTTGTTCTTCTTGCATTCGATAGAGAAGGAAGAATTATGGCGCCCCAGAAATAGGGTACTGTCACCCAAGTTCTTTACCTGCAAATCCGACCAATGGCACCAGCACTTGCCACAACCCTCCAATGGCACATTGAAAACCCTAAACTCAGTTGTTGAACTGAACCATTGCCTAAGACGCAGAACCACCAACAAGGCCCCTTGTGATTCCACCAGATAAAGGCTTTGATCAACAGAAGCACACATGGGTTCCATTGGCACTTTCGGAACAACAATCCTCATTTTTGGTTGCTCAGGCTCTGCAATCTCACAAACCATTATATTCCCATCAAAGTCCACAGCATAAAACTGCCCTTTATAATAAGCAAGATCCATTATATTCCTCCCCACACTGGTCCATTCATCTTCTCCTGGTCTCCAAAAACCCCAGCCTCCCAAAATCCTATAAATAACAGTCACTATATAATCACACGTCCAAGAAGGGCTTGATGACAAGACAAACTTACTAGCTATGAACTCGTACGGCACGCCGGAAAAGCTCTGTTGCTGGTGATGGTTTCTGACTTTGTTAATATCTGGAAGTTCAATCTGGTCATGGCTTAAAGGGTGCAGCAGATCAACCTTCAAATCCGCAGACACAGCCACCAGCCAGCCTAGAGAAGAATAAAAAGACTGCTTTGTTTTCTTGGGTGCGAGCAGACCAAGTTTGTGAAACGTTCCCTTTGACCACGTACTCCTTGAGCTGTTGTAGAATTCAGGGGTGAGAGTGCCCTTCTCCTTGTTCTTGGCTTGGATCATAAGCACTGGAGATTTCAGTGTTGATCGGCTGGTAAAGTATTCTTTGATGGCGGCTGATCTCCATGCTTTACAAACTGCGGCAAAAGCAATCAAATCCGCCGGAGAGACCATTCGTTTGGCGATCGAGTCGACAATATCTTGATGAAGACTCGACCAGTCGTGAACTTTTCTGTTTGGACTGGTTTGGGCCATCGAGTTAATGTCGGTTACTGTTGCCCTACTCTAACAGCTTTGTCTGTGTATAAAGAGGCGGAGATTCTGCGTTTCCCTTTAGGATTGGGATTCCTTACTTGAATGAGGAGGAATGCTATTTACATTTCCTTATTCACACATACAACAAAGATGTTATAGGTTCGCAACAAAGATGTTACCACAAAGATGTTATAGGTTCGCAACAAAAATGTTATAGGTTTGAATATGGAAGTAGAGATTCTTTTTCACTAGTTCTCTTTTACAACATTCTTCAATTTGCCACTCCCATTCTTCTGTTGACATGTATTGTGCAAGTGAAGTCCACGTGTCAACAGAGAAATGCAAATTGAGAAAGGTAAATAGGAAAGGTAGATAACGTTCCTGTGACTAAATATGGTTAACAATTACATGGTGGCATAGTTCTCATTTATAGTTAATAAACTAAGGAACCATAAAAATACGAATGAAATACATATGTATATTGGTAAAAAAAAAAATATATATAAAATTTGACAAATTCGATCATTATATGATATTTTAATATTATTTATTGAAACTTTGTAGTATATATTCTTTTCATTCAATACTATGTGTAACATATACATGTATAATACATTAATTTTTCATGTATTGTTGAAAATTTTGTTAAAAATACATGTATTGAACATGAAAATATATGTTATGTATAATACATATATTGTACGTTTAATTTTTTATAATAAAAATTGGTATTTTTACCGTGGCTTTGAGATGTTTACGAGAAATAGGTATTTGTGAAAAATACATATGTACATGATGTAAATTTACTAATTATGTTCTCATTCTTTTTGCAGTCATTCAAACAATATATATTCATTACTTTAAGTAATCTCCACTTGCTAGAAAAGAAATATATCGTCCAAGATAAAGATTGTATCATAAAACAAGCAAATTAAAAATTATTATAAAAAAAAAAAAAAAAAAGACCTGTACACAAAACAACGAAGAGTTTCACCTTTGGAAATTAGAGGGAACAAAATTAATACAAATATCCAACCACAAAGTGTTCCAACTAATCTTGTACAAGGAAAACATGGTATAAGAACATATACCTCTTTTGACCCTGTCACCATGGATTAGGAACAATCCAAAAGGGTGGTGGGTCGATTCTCCACTTACCAAATTGATCAAACGGCTTCACAACTTTGTCTTGTATGCTGTAAATTCCATTGTCATGGCCACCATAATCATTAGCAAAACCGTGGAACTTAAAACTGATCTCATCCCACTTGTCATCTGTGAAGTAAATTGAGTTTTCTTCAAACTCTGGGAAATCAATGGTGGATAATGATATCGACTGGTTTCCACCCAAAAACAACGCCCGATCAGGCAAACATTCCACTTTCTCCCACTTTTTGGCACTCAAATTCAACTTAAAGATATAAAACTGCATTGTTCTATACGGAAAACAATCCTCACCACCAGGGCTCAACGGATCAACAGCTCTGCCTTGACGATCAAGAAAGTTCCCTTTAACTCGCCCCACGAACAAAATATCACCCAATGACTCCACCAAATATGTCCGAGTAGAAAATTCCCGGCTCCGAAACTTCAAAATATTCGAGCGGTCTTGCAAAGAACCTAAGGAAGGTCGACGGAGATTGATGGTTCTGATTGGAAAAGAGGTGTTCTTGAAGTCCCAAACTTCAACCGAGCCATGTTCAGCAAATGCAAATAGCTGGTTATTGTGGAATATAATATCACCATATGCTCTATGCTTGCCCTCCAAGCTAGTCCATGTCCCCCCATACTTACAGAATGCAAGTTCCAATGGTGCTGGTAGGTCTAGAAGCCTGCCGTAGATGATCACTACAACAAAGTTGTTGTAGTTGCCAGAGGGGGCAGAGGAAAGGATGGCCTTAGCAATATAAGTCTTGCGCAGGTTTTCGTCGATTGAGCGATCAACAGGCCAAAACAGCGGGAGTTGAATTCTGCGTCCAGAAATTGGATTCAAGAGATGCGGGTTTGCTCTTTTGTCCAAAATCACCAGCCAGCCGTGTGATGAACCCACACACCAAGCATTGTCAAAGTCTTGAAACGCGCTCTCGATGGTGTAAAGTTTTTTCTCTTGGAAACTATAAAAGCAGCGAGTGCTGTCGTTGTAGTTATAAATTCTGTTTTGTTGGATAGGAGGGAGCATGAGCCATGTTGTTTGAGGCCCCGAAGCAGAACCCAAAAAGTAGGATTCCATGGCGTGGTTCCAGGAGGAACAAACTGCTTTGAACCGAAGCAAGTCGGTGATAGAAAGATTTTTCATGATCAGGTTTAACAGTTTAGTCTGGAGCTCAGACCAATTTGGTGATGATGTTGTTCTTGTCTTTTTGGTGACCATTGTGGCAGTGTTAGTTGATGATGCTGTTCTTCTCCTTTTGGTGACCATTGTGGCAGCGTTAGATGGCGTGGGAAGGAAGGAAGGGAAGGAAGGGAAGGAAGGAAAGGAGGGTTGCTCTGTTTTGTACGAGGAAAAGAAAAGTAAAGAGGCAGTCTGCTCTCAACTCCATTTATAGGCAATGCAGCAATCCAGGTTGAATTAGGAAACTTATTTCAGCCATCAATTACTAACTTGTCCAGGAAAGGAAAGAGTCTTGGTTTTCCCTGTAGGATTGGGATTTATTTTTATATATAAATATAGTCAAATATATATTATTAATTTAGTAAAACAAAATATTTACATCTTTTTCCCCTAAACAATTCTAAAGGCAGAATTTATGGTTGCACTTTTATCTTTCATATTTGGCAGGAAGCTGATCTGCATCTATTGAGACATGTCTGATGAAATATCCGTTGTTCTGAACTGGGTTTATGATTGTTGGTTGTCACAAGAAGCTTGATAATCTCTAACCCGGATTAGAGATTTGCAAATCATTCGGTTTAAGACCTCATCATTGAACTAATTCCTGATTTTCACCATCTTCATCATCCTTTTGTGATCTCCGCCGATTCAAACCATTAGAAAACCGAGGAAGCTTCAACATGGTATTTACTCTTTCAACTCCATCAAGAGCATTCCACTCTTCCTTTGAGTCTTCTGTGATCTTGCTACTGATCTCAGATGCAGGGCATCCCACATCACTTACAATGTTGGATCTTGTGCTATAGTAAGACAATGAAAGCTCTGTATCATTTGGTTTGCCTCCGCGGCTCAAGTTAGATGCGGTCTGTGTTAACGATGGTTGGTCTTTCACGTACAAGCATATGACTGCGCAGTCGTCGATTTTCGATTCTGGAAACTTTCTTTTCCATGCTCTAACAGCACGTTTTACCACCAATTCGGCTGCAATGGATCGCCTCTTTGCTGAAGCAACTATCTTTACCACATCAGTGTTTGTCAATGCATCCCACACCTGCACAAAGCAGAGTCACCAAATTTGTTCATCAAATGATGTGATGAATACGATTTAGAGCTAGGAAACTTCAGTCTTAGTTCAAGGATTTTTTCAGGTTTCACAATCATTTATCTGCACTCATTTCACAATTGGGTATGCCTTTTTAACCATCAAGTAGAGGCCTGTTTAGCAATTCAAATATTAGTAAACAAAATGTGTTGTTTTCCTACCCCATCAGTTGCCAAGACCACAAATTCATCACTGCTTGAGATCCTTCTATAGGAAACTTCAGGGATTGAGATTAGGCCACAATCTTTGACACAGAAATCTCCAAAAGCCCTTGACATTGCTAGACCAGGGCAATCTTCATCGGGCATCCATAATCTATACACATCTGGTTCTTCGTCCACTGATAAAATTCTGCCTTTGCAATTCTTTATTCTCTCAGCTTCACCTGTGTCATACCAGTAGGGAAAAATAAGAAGATCAATACAACTTTGATCATCATGCTTCAAGTAAAATCTTAAGAGCACAAGTACTAAACCGACCTGGAGTATCCGGTTTCAAGTCAACTGTGAGTTGGACAGAACATATCTGGTTTTTCTCTCCTGATCTAGTGCCAAGAACGGCACGAGAATCCCCCAAGTTGGCAATTACCAAGTGATCACCCTGAAAATGAAACCTCATATAAATTAAAAAAGATGAACCTTTTGAATTGCTCTTTGAACCAACCATTTGCTTTTTAATCCAAATTTAAGTGCAAACCAATATATACAATACCTGCTTAACTACAGCTACAGCTGTTGAACCACTGCAGAAGCTATCGATGGTGTTATCGAGGCTAAGTTCTTCGTCCATTTCCTTGAATGATTTAACATAACTGGCTTCCCATGAAGAAAGGGGCATATCTTGACTGGCTTTCTTGTTGTGTCTGTGACCAACATTTTCATAGAGCTCACTTCCAACATCAATGTCACTGAATATTCCGGTGTTAAGTTGGTAAATTTTGATCACTTGGGAGAGCTTCGAGGGCAAATTGTCACGTACACATCTTGCAACTTTGTGACCTTCAGGGCCATGACCATCAAACACACCACAGAAGTACATGCCCTTCTCAGTAAAGTCCTAAAGGATTGATGAGATAAAAACTTCGTTTAAATGCACATTGCTTTCATAAACAAAAGAAAATAATAGCAAAGTGGAAAAAGAGGATTCTATAGGCTGAAGGACATATCATTATTGAAATTACATGAAGCAATTAACAAACTAGGAAATGTTGAAGAACAAATTTTGCAGAACACAGGATACCAATAAGATTTGAAGGCATGAGATTAGGAAACAGAGCTGATGTCAATAACCAAAACTGAGAAAACCCCAACAAAAAGCAAACCACAGTGACAATGAAATGAAAGCTTAAAGGAAAAAAGAAAAAGAAAAATGCAAGAATTATTTATCAAAGATGTAAAAACGAACACAGATGAGCTTTTCAGGGAAAGACATGTTGTGTTGAAATATCATACCTCCCAAATTGTCATGGCATCTTGATTGATCCCTTTTCTTCCTTGCTGGGTGTACATTGATGTGAACCTAGAACACCCTTGCAACCGTATGCGGGCCCCGTCGTCCCCGTGCCTTACATTATCCTCCTCATCATTACCCTCAGATTCGTTAAAATGCCGATTGTTCGTACGATCATCCTCTATGTACCCTCCTCCATACAACGCTTCCTTGGAACAACAAGCTCCCATGTCTCTCTGTACAAGCCAACTTCTCACAAATGATAATTCTCCAAAGAAGAAAAGAAAAAAAGAAAAAAACTTTAAAAGAACCAACAAAAACCAACCACTACCCAAATGGCAGAAATGGGTGAAGAGGCAAGAAGAGAAAGAGAATTGAAAGGCGACGGTCGGATGGTGTTTATTGGTATGTGCATGCAACTATGGAAATGACTCGATCATGCATGAATCTTTTGGTTGAGCATCAACAGCATGCAATTATGCAATCAAAATTAAAGAAGGAAAAAAGTCGCAGGCTCCTTCTTCCTTGTTTTGCAATATTGCAGGCTGTTCTCTGAATTTTCGACGTGCTAATCTCAATCCATATTCAACTCAAATAGCTATCTTTCCGCTGACAAAAATTGTTAAAACTATAATGACAAGAATACCCTCGGTCTTGCTCGGAGGATAGAAATGCTAAATTTGCATCTCCCTATTAATGTCTAAATTAATCAAAATACAGAACTATAATTAGCAATATAATTTTCCCTATATCTTAGTTGGTTAACCAACACGAAATCGTCACGTGTTTCATGTAAATCCCAATGTGATATCTTTCTCACTAAAATAGTGGCATTCACTAAATTATATATGCTACGCGATTTGTATCGTTTCATGTATCTTCTTTATCAGTTATTATTTTGATTAGGAATTTAGTTACCTTATTTTTAAGCCATTAGATGAAAATCCAGTTGTTAATAAGGCAAACTATGTACAAACTACATACATACCCCTAACCAGTTTTTGGAAGACCACTGTTTCTGTTCAACTAATCAAAACCTAATCCGTTTTCTTTTGGCAGTAAACTAGAAAGTCTTCTTTCTGATAACTGGTTAAGTAAACTAGATGGTTTATTGATTTAGTCAATTAGATGGTTCGAAACCAAAAAAATTGTAGTTTGACTTTCACTTACAACCATCCTATTCAAACACATTTCCTATATAACTAACAACTTATATCAACAATTACAAACACTTGAACTAAAACAAAACCTTTCTTCTAATCTGTACGACTCTTGGTTTCTAGATACATCCATTGTCAAACATATATATTTTTAAATCTAGAAAACACACGAGAGGTGGACGGTTTATGGTGAAGAAGAAGATTAGGATAAGCCCAATTGTAGTTGTAGGGGTATAAACAAGTTACACAAGCCTAAGAACTTGTTTTGGGCTGACATGGATGAGATGTCAATTTTGATTACGAGGAGGGGGGCTTGAATTAGGGTACAAGAAGGCGGACTCACTATTATGATTAACTAGCTTAATTCACGTATGCTTAGACCTCTGGTTTTTTAATTTTAAATATCTTCATGTTTTTTTCACTGCTCAAGCGTTGGATGAAATTGATTGTTAAGGATTGCTTTGATATGTTGGTGATGGAAATGTAAGGTGACAACGATGCAGAATTTGGGCTGACAACAAGGGTGATGAGGAACAAAACATGTGCTAAATGCTAAACCCATGTGCAGAGCCATGTCAAGAACAAATTGGTGGCAATGGCATTCAACCAAAATTATGAGGCTCAAAGTCGGTGGTGACCCAATGATTGAGTCAAAGAAGTCAACATGATGAAGCTTTCCCTGTTTGAGCCGCAAACATAGTCTTCCCTACCATGTAATATGCTACAGGCTACGTAGATTATTCTCTTAATTATCTATCAAGATCCTATTGCAATGATTGATTGTGTTTCCAAATACTGTGAAACTTAACGAGCAATATTATTTACTAATTAGCTGCTTATATGGTGCTAAAAAAATTTAAATCATCTGAAACGAATTTAGAAAGTTTGGTGTTATTTACCAACAAAAACAAGTGAGGCATGATCATAGCTGTCCTACCGTTTTTGGGCCTTCAACTGCTCAATCAATCTTATGAATCCTTCCTTAAATCAGAAGAAGCAGATTTGTCTAAAACAGAAACAATCAAATGTGCCCATATTCATGTAACCAAATAGAAGATAAAACACAAACTAAATCCAATGGAAGAAACAGAGCTTTTCTATATGATACGAAGTAAATGAAAATTTCATTTTCCAGCTGCAATTCTTACATCAAACAAATTTCTGGGAAGCTAAAGTTTTTCTTTTTGAAACAAAATTACAAAACTATAAAAAGAAAAACATGTCTGGACTATATATAACCAAAGAAACCTGTAAATTTCACCACCATTGGTGAACAAGAACTCCACTTTGCCTCAGTGAAGTGAAGAGGTCCAAGCATTGACCATAAGTTTTCTCATACTTTGAGCTCCTCTCACCGGGGCAACACCTCTGCCACCTATTGTAATGGCACTCCAGAAAAATCTCATCAATCAAACAAATGGCTCCTGTCTCAAACAGCCTCGGGATCAAATCGAATTCGGTCCCTTCCACATCCATCTTCATCACCACGAAATCCTTCTCCGAAAAGGTCTTCTTCAACCAATTTGCGAAATCAAACCCCTGAATTTGATCCACCTCCCCATTAAACCCGCCATCAGCCGACTTCGCCGGCTGAATTCTCCCCATACCTCTGCCTTTCTCCTTCACCTTCTCGCCCGGGTCACCGTTAATCTCAAACGACAGTGTTTCGTTCCTCACCCAAGCTGCATAAGGCAACAAAGTAACCCTCTTCTTCAACTTGTACTGCTCATGAAAAGTTTTATCGGCCTCAATGGCAAACACTTCGAAAGTCTTGTTCTGTTTTGGGTATTGCTTCTTGAACCAGCTGCCAATGCTGGAGCCATAGCCTCTAGCTCCAACATCCACATAAGCATACCGCTTCTTAAAGCTTATATCCGCCATTGCTGGAAGGTACTTGACATTCTGTATATTCTTCTTCAAAGTAATCCATGGCTTCAACGGCTCTGTTTCAATCAAAGGCTCGGCTTTCCTGACCAACTCTAGCTTATGCCCAGGAACCGAGCACTTATTACCCAAATTGCCACCACCGTTCTCAATCCTAGTATTGCTCAGAAGCTCAATCTCACCATCATCACACTCCTTCTTCAACACCATCTCGCGAATTTTGGGCATGGAATCATCGAAACCCTCGACGTCGCGCGAAGTCACGAGCTTGCAGCAATTGAACAAATCAATAAACGAATGGAAGCTGTAGGTGTCTTTCGCGCCGATGTGGACCACCGCAATCCCTTCGGGCTTCAGCGTCCGTACGATCTCAGCGGCGAAATCCGACGGCTTTGGCGACTTATCGAGTCTGCCTCCGCCCGAGAAAACGAAATCAAAACTATTGTCACCGAACGGTAAACGGTGCGGGTCGCCTGGAATTACCAGAGGCCTCGAGGCTTTCTTGAAAATACCGACGGCGCCCTTGACGCCGGACTCTCTCAGAGCGTACACGTCATGCCCGGTCGGGGTCTCTACGCACAGAGACTTGGCCTTCCGGGAGAGGAAGCCTTGCGCCATGAGATCTTGGAAGACGGAGGAGTAAAAATGGATGGCCTTAATCCAGTCCTTGCTGGTGTAGAGATCCGGTAGCGAGGACCCCGCCGAAGTCGAAGGTACGGCGCCGTTTTTGGCGGCTATGGCCGGACCGCCGGTTCTCGCAATAACGAAGTTGAGATTTTCAGGCAGAGACAAGAAGCAGAAGTTGCCGAGCTTGCACGACTCGCCGGTGACGGTGACGACGTAGGCAAAACGGCACAGTACGATCAAAACGCCGAATAAGAAGCAGCGTACCAGAACGTTCTTCAGAAGGCCTGGCTTGCCTGCGGTTGGCTCCATCTCTGTCAAATATACACCTTTTTCACAGAAACAAAAAGAATAGAGAATCCTGGGTTTTTCTCACAACCAATCAAAGAATGAATTGAATTTCTGAAAATTGAATAATCGTATTGGAAGAGGAAGAAGGGTATAGTGTATGGTTTAGCGAGAGCAGAATCGAGCGGAGGTGTGGTTGGCTCCGATCAAGGCAGGTGCTTTTAAAAGAGAGTTGCAGATCTTAAAACTGTGGTGCGGGGAAGGAGGATGGTCAAAGCGAGAAGCCATGGTTGGTTTTTTGTTAGCAGAAAGATATTTTATTTCTGTTTG